CACCGAGTTGTTAATCATATGATTGGAAAATATGCAGCAGACGTTGTGGAGAAATATATGTATGTTCTAAATGCAGTTCACCAAATTTGTTCACATTAATCTCCTCTACATCTTTCTCCAGAAAAAATAGTATTCCATTTAACTGAGTATTTAACCCGGTAGAATGATGGATTCGCTCGAGATTTTTCAAAAGCCCGAACACATCACTTATAGAAATAGTTTATTGTTAAATGCACAAGGGTGCAGGAAGCAAGTACACGAGGTAATGAGTGTGTGTGTGTGTTCAAAAATCCACATATATATTTATGAATATTGATCGATCGTGGATAAATTATTGATTATGTGTATGTTGAATCCAATGAGAGAATAGATTAAGGATGGTAGATGTACAAACAGACATGTGCCTAACCAGACTCACATACAAATTTACATAGTAGATCAAGTGTCTAAAGGACAATGAACAGACAAATAATACAATGAGCTTACTACAAAGTGGGGGTATGTTTAGCAGTGGAATCCAAGATGATAGTTTGGTCGTATTTGCGACTCATTTGCTAAATGGATCTGCATTCAAATTGATATTCACTCCAGGATGTGAACCTAGTACCCTTCTCTTCGAACGCTCAATGTCTTATTTACTTTATTTCTGGTTGGCGTTTCTTTAGCGAGTTAGTTTTCTACAAGATGGGGGCGCTAACGCCATGCCAAACCCTCCTCCTTTATCTGGGCTTGATACTAGCAGTAACTCTAGAAGAATGTCTACAATGTCTTACTTACTGATTACAATTCAGTCAAAATATTACCAATCGGATAATATAAACCATGATAAGTTGAATCGAAATCCAATTCTAGCAACATTTCATCCATTCTTATCCTTATTTGTATATTTTATATCCATTAAAATAGACAGTATGGAACTTTTTAATGGATCCTTTAACCATGTACACTGAAAAATGTTCGAGAACAAAACAATGAGAATGATAGATGATTCTGTTGATAAAGATTTCTCCACAAAACCAGTCCAACTGATGACTTTACAAAGAAATAACTGGATCAGCAGTATACAAAACATCTTAGAAATGTGATATGTAGCACAGATGGAATGAATGTTTTGAATCGAATCTCTTTTTGTGTTAGTTTAGTTATTAGTGTTATATCCCGACGAGAATTGTGAATGGTAACTTAATGGGCCAATACGACACATATATCTTGTATTGTATAATTGTTAAGTAACTAAACTATGCATATTCATGTTCCTCCTATTATAAGCTTTATTTTCGCTCATAGATCATTATTATTGTACGATATACCGTTCTTGAGTTATGCCCAGTCTATTAATTACAGTCTCCCACATTCACAGTCACTTTTGGCTAGATCTTGTACGAATGTGTATTTTCTGTATTTTCTGGTAAGATGTGGTCTATTTAGGTTGTATATAAACCCAGTATGTTTAAAATACATTATTCATATTGTAAAAGCTGAGATTGATGTTCTGCACTCAACAGGCAGGAAGAAAGATTGATAAAGACTCTAGATTGTTCTTACAGGTTTTATGAGTCCTTGATCCGGTCCATAAGCTGTTGTTCTCTAATTGGCAGTATCATTAGGTTATACATAAAGTAGGGCACAAATTATAACAATTAGTAGTTCAACAAATACATCTCTATTAAAGGTAATTATAACATATAGTAATTTCTTAATCACGGAGGTTGTAAAGTAGTTCAGTACTTAAAAATATTTTTTTGTTATACATTTAGTATCTGTATGCCCTCGTAATCGGATCATTAGACTATAGAGTGTTAATATTAATCGATAAAATGACTAGATCTGAATGCACTTACTTACTTACGCCTGTTACTCCCAATGGAGCATAGGCCGCCTTCCAGTATTATCCAGCCCACTCTGTCCTGGGCCTTCTTTTCTAGTTCCATCCAATTCTTGTTCATTCTTCTCATGTCTATCTCCATTTCCCGGTGTAATGTGTTCTTCGGTCTTCCTCTTTTCCTTTGGCCTTGAGCATCCCATGTGAGGGCTTGCATTGCGACGCAGTTGGATGCTTTCCTTAATATGTGTCCTACCCACTTCCAGCGCTCCTTCTTGATTTCCTCCTCCGCTGGGGTCTGGTTTGTCCTCTCCCACAGTAGGTTGTTGCTGATAGTGTCGTGTCTGGCCAACGGATCCGAAGTATTTTGCGTATACAGCTGTTAATAAACACTTGTATCTTCTGGATGATGGCTTTCGTAGTTCTCCAAGTTTCTACCCCATAGAGTAGAACTGTCTTGACATTTGTATTGAAAATTCTGACATTGGTGTTGGTTGACAGAGAGTTGTTTTGAGTTCCCGATGTTCTTCAGTTGTAGATATGCTTCTCTTGCTTTGGCGATCTGCGCCTTCACATCTGCATCAGATCCTCCGTGTTCATGAATGATGCTGCCCAGATATGTAAAGGTTTTTACATCTTCCAAATCTTCTCCACCAAATGTGATTGGATTGTTGCATGCTGTGTTGTATCGGAGAATCTGAATGTAATCTGATTTAATCAAAATGAAGATATTTTATTTGTTTATTTAAACACATAAATATTGGTACAAGGAGGCATCAAATAGATATGCGCCACACAGATTTCATTTGATATTTGTGAGGGCTGTGATACTGCCCGGGTGCTCAAATCGAAGCAGGTGCGTTTCTTAGGGGGCCACACCCCGAGCCTTCGACCTGCAGGTCTAATCCACAAGACAGTGGAGTAACGTCAGGAGATGCAGTCGAATGGTAGCCGGTGACCAACGATTGGTTCATACACCATTAGTTCCTTCAGGATCCTCGAGCCCATGTGCACCATTGGTTTGGAATCAGGGTTTTCCAACTCTCCTAGGTAAACTCTCTGTGTCCACGAACCCGGTTAGAGCGACGGACATTCGCTTTTCGTCCTCTCAATTTCGAAAACGACACTCCCGCCGATATTCAGGGGTTTAACAATCCATAGCTGCCTATACAGTGTAAATATATTTATTCTAAAGTAACCTCAGAAAGACACTGAGCTATTGTTAATGGCTGTGTTGACTTAAGCATGACCTCAGAAGTAAGCTGTTAAAGATGTAGAATATTCATATGTGACAATGAAATTAAGAGTTTATACATGTATATTTGTTGTTTGGATCTGTTCATTGGACTGCAACTGATTAGTCTGTTTCGACGTATATGGATTCTGCCTTGGTGTCGCCATTAAGTCAGAGGCATTATAAGCAGAGAGGGATGGTGACTAGCAGTGGAATCCAAGACACATATTTCATCCTGCTTGGGACTCGTCAGCTGGATGAACATACAACCCAAAGTTGATCCTCACGCTGTGTCCGAGTCCTGGATTTCACTGTTAGCCACCATTCATCTCCGCTTAATATGAGTTTATACATTTGAAAATTACACTGCTGACACTAGAAATTTATTGGGTAAAGATGAATGCAATAATCTTAAAAACTGATCATTACGAGAAGATAATATCATTGGGGTGATATTTATTCACAGGAAGCACTATAGCGATGTTACAACTACAGAACAACTAGAATAAACATTTCCATACTAAACTCCATTTCTGAAGCCTCATCAATCAACCGGTCGATGTTGAATTAGGCTCAAAGAAAGCTAAGGATGGTAAAATTTAAAACACCTATGAATTTATTAAGGGTTGAACTACCTGGTTTGGATTTTTGCCTTTATCACAAGCTGGGTGATATGGTGTAGATGTACCCACTATTTATATTTTCTTAAATCTTGGGTTTTAAGACTATCTTGTATTTTTTTTATTTTATGAATTCATTCTTTCTTCTTGAATCAAATTCTCTATGAAATATTATTTTCCACTGGTTTTAGTACTGTTACGACTTCTGTCACACTAATATTTGTCTTAATCTTGTTATGTTGATATGATGTTGCTAACACACATATACTCCAGGTTTTATGTTGCATATGAATAATTGGTTAGACCTTCAAGAAGCAATGTTCCTGACAACATACTTAAAAAAGCAATTTCATGTGATGTATAATAAATGATTGTTCAGTCAGTCAGCAACAACAAGCAAATTTGTACGTACGTACATCACTTCGAGTTGCCATACCACATTAGCACAGAGATGCAGTTGTTGATTCAAAACCCATAGTGGTAATAGTAAAAGCATAAGCAGTAATCGGAAAGATGTTAACTCAAGGAGTATAATCCAGTGAAGTAAATTTGGAAAGAGAAAAAAACGAGACACGAAGAATTCAGAAGATTAGAATTTGGGAGAACACAAAGAGTGGATGCACCTGCGCCATTGCAAACGATTTTCAGCCATGTCATTCAAGGTTTCTATCATCTCGCGGATCCCAACCAGGTAGTCTACACCTACCAACATGACTCAGGTCCACTTGTCAGTGACTTCATGGATTTGTGCTATGTTTTGGTCTGGCCGTCCCTACCTTTCTTCCAACCTACTCCTACATCATAAAACATCGCACGTCGAAGCAGTCGGTCGTTGGGCATACGTAGCACGCGTCGCAGCCATCTCAACTGGTGAAGTTTCACTACTTCAATTTATTTGCCATCCTTACCTAGTACCCGTTTCCTAACAACTGCATTACTTACTCGGTGGTCCCAGGATATACGAGCAATGTTGTGAAGACACCTATGATCGAATACTAGTAACCTACGAATATCCTCTACTCTTACCGGCCATGTTTCACTCCCACAAAGTAGAACGGAACGAACTGGTTCACTGTAAATCCGTCCTTTGGTTGATAGACGGATATCTCGCCTACGCCATAAATGTCGCAAGTTGGCAAAAGCTAGTCGAGCCTTCTGAACTCGCACTGAGATCTCCTCACACACTAGACCACAAGGGCTGATGAGACTCCTAAGATAAGTGAGGCAGTCGACACGCTCAACTACTTCACTCCCTATGATTAGTTCGGGTGTCGAATCTAAACAATACAGACTAAAATGATAGTATACACACTAAGTACTATTCAACTGACCAATAAATTATATTAAAAAACAATGAAATTGAACATAGATACTATCACACGCACAGAGAGAGAGAGGGTACGAAAAGAAGTAGTTTAACATGCCCTTGAATTTACTTATTGTACAAATTCATAGTTAGTCATAAGTAATACATATTGTTTCATGATGTCACTATACCATATCAATACAGTGAGATGAAATGTTCAAGACAAATACTAGAGTACTAGAAATGTTACGATACATTATCAATAATAATAATAATAGAACATATTAATTATACACAAACTCATTAGTAGTATCCAACACTATATTCATCAAATTAACCACAACCAAACGGAAATATAGAATACTACAATAAGTATCAATTCATCAAATACAAAATCCTAAGTAAAATGAAAAATACTTAAGATTCATTGAAAAATACTTTTTATATATACATAGATAGATAGATACTACTTACAATATATATTAGTAATATAGAACACAAATTTACATGAAGAAGGTTGTGGGTGTGTGTTTTTTTTTTCTTCATATATTTCAACACAAACATTGATAATAAAGAAGTACTAATCAAAATACATATACACCATACAAATCCCTTGATTTGTGTAAGGGTTAGAATACTATCTAGATACACAAACTGAAAAAGGTGTTTTGTTTTACTTTTACAGTTTTAATAGAAGTTATATTCACATGTAATTGTTTCATCATATTCATTGAAAAAAGGATCCTTTCAATTAGAGATTGATGATGAATACTTTGGAAATACATTTTTACATTATAAACATGATGAAAACCAATTGGAAACTAAAAACAAGATTATTAGATAGAAAGAAAGAGAAAAAAAAACAAAAATAGAGAAAAGAAAAGAAAGAGGGGGTGGGAGAGGGTGGAGAGAGAGAGAGAGAGAGAGAATATAATTATTGGAATAAATTACGTCGAGGATGTAATCCACGATGACATGATGGATTATGTAATGTTGATTGTTGTATAATTGGTACTATGAATTTAGAAGGGAATAAATTATGATTATTTTTAGATAAATATGTATATGAATGATGATGATGATAATTAGTATCAATAGATGATTGTATATTATATTGTAATTGATGTAATACTGGTGATAATGGTATATCTAATGAATTCTCATCCCATAAATGACGTGAATTATTATTATTATTATTATTATGATTAGGATTATTATTATTATTATTATTATTATTATTATTATGATTAGGATTATCATATGATAATGGAATAATATGAGATTTTGATGATGATGATGGTGATGATAATGATAATGAAGAGGATGGTGAATTCAAATGATTAGGAGGTATATTCTCCGAATTCTCATGAATATCTTCAGATAATTTAGGATTAGATATACTATTAGATGGTTCATCAATTCCACCAAATAATTGTTTACGTAAAGCAATACACGTTGAATTACTTTGACTACTGTGAATTGTTGTTGTATTATCGATAGAATCACTAAAATTATAAATAGAATACACATAGATGATGAAGAAATGGATAAACAAAGGAAGCTGTTCTTTTTTTGGATGGGGGCGGGTGGAAGGAAGGAAGGAAGATATTATCTCGCTGTATTCAACGTTTGTACCTGTTTAATTCAATGAATCATAAACTTTTGTTGAATATATCTAAATCACTGTCGGCCTGCTTGAATATCTGAACTACCTGTTCCTGATATCAACATATCACAAGTTACCTGTCTTTTGTTTGTTACGTATGCCTGAACACCGATTACAACGACGTGCAATGCTGACTAGTGTTGAGGATGGTTGGAAGAAAGTTAGGGGTGGCCAAACCAAAACGTGGCATCAGTCCTTAAAGTTATTAACTACTAGTCTGAGCAATGTTGGTAGATTCAGACTACTTGGTTTGGGTCTGCGCGACTATCGTAACTAATCGTTGTAGACTGTGTGTGACATGGCTCAGAATCGATCACAATGGAGTAGGTGTATACACTCTCTGTCTTCCCTTAAACTATGAGATTAAAATCGCTTTATATCTTTATTTCTACTAACTAATTCTTTCTTCCTGTACTATGTTCTCATATGCAATCTACCATTGAATTAACTACTTCTATAAATCCGGTGTGCATTTTGTTTTGCTAATGAGGTATGGCAGCTTGGACCGATGCATATATGTGCCTGGTCCTACGCTTATACAAAAAATATGGCAAACATCCTCGGAGCTTTGCTAAAGATGTTGATGAATACATAATAGTATATCTTCAACAATTTCTTTAGCAAGACTACATACTTTATGTCAATTACAGAATCTCTAGACAAGAAATAAACTACTGAAAACAATAAGGTCAAAAAAGTATATCTCCATAAGTAGTACAATCTGTGTTAGGGTTGAACAGGAGTAGTTATAATGGGAACGAGGAAGGGCAGCTGGTCCAGATGGACTGGCTCCAGAGGTCTTTAAGGATGGTGGTCCAATTTTAGCGATTAGGTTGACTAATTATTTTAGCTAGGATCTGGGAGTTAGACGTTATCCCATCTAACTGGTCACAATCACTTATCATCCCAATATATAAGAAAGGGTCAAAATCATCCTGTGACAACCACAGAGGGATTAGTTTAACTAATATAGTATATATATATATATATATATATATATATATATATATATAACTCTGGGTGACATGGCTCAGAATCGATCACAATGGCGTCGGTGTATACACTCCCTGTCTTCCCTTAAACTAAGAGATTAAAATCACTTCATATCTTTCCTTCTACGAACCAATTCTTTCTTCTTGTACTATATCTCTATATGCAATCTTTCTCTAATATATTACCACATTTGACCTAACCACTGCTGTGAATCCGGTGTTCAACTTGTTGTGCTGATGCGGTATGGCAACCTGGACCGATGCACATATGTGCCTGGTAATACGTTGTAGCTGACTGACTGACTGATAATGGGAATTCCTGACAGAGGACACATCATTTTGGATGAAAACAAACCAAATAGATCATTATACATACAACATATGAAAGAGAATTATAAATGAAATCAAATATTAACAAAAAAACACGACTTTTAGTATAAAGATACAAATATGTATATGAATCAATGATATTTCTTTCATATACTTACCTAACTGCAATTGAAGGACGATTGAATACATGCAATGGAGCAAATGTTGATTGATGAATAGGTTTAACTACTGGACATGTGGTAAATATAGATGCTTTAGAATTATTGATCATATCAGATTGTTTTTGATCACTAATACTAATGGTATTGGCAGAAGTAGTATTAACAGTGGTACTAATAGTAGTATCCGAAGTACCATAGTCACTACTGTTACTGTTAGCAACGGTATTGACGGAACCGTCAGAAATGCAGTTGATATTACGCTTAGGAGCATTTATCAGGTAGTCATCCATGAAATTATTACTACCAAATGAATATGGTGTATGATTTCCAGTCAAATCATGAGAGTTAGGTGATCCAGTAAAAACTTGATGAGTATTAGTGGAACCTGACGTAGTAGTTGCAGCAGCTAATGTGTTCAAACGAAATACAGGAGGTTGTGTTGGTGTACAAACTGGAGATATTTTTCTACGTTTTCTATGTATAAGAAAGTTCAAAAGGAACAATGTTAACAATAAATATTATTATTCATTCATATTCCATAGTGATTTTAAATACCTTTAAATTGAATTATTTTCTCTATAAAGCTGAGTATTTATTTATTTATTTAAACACATAAATATTAGTACGAACGGGCACCGAATACATATACGCCACACAAGTCACTTGGTTTGTGTGTGAGCTGTGATACTGCCCAGGTGACCAAACCGAAACAGATGGTTCTCTTAGGAGGTCACATGCGGAGCATACGACCTAAAGGCCTAGTCCACAAGACAGTGAAGTAACGTCAAGAGATGCAGTCCCATGGTAGCCAGTGATCAACAATTGGTTCATACGCCATTTGTTCCATCAGAATACTGGAGCCCATGTGCACCACTGGTTTGGAATCAGGGTTTTCCAACTCCCCTAGGTGGACTCTCCGTGTCCACCAACCCGGTCAAAACGCCGGACGTTTGCTTTTCGTCCTCTCAATTTTGTAAACAACACTCGTTGTGCGAGAAGGCAGTGAGTAGGACTTCCCTGACAGAGGCTGTATACGCGTGGCCATGTGAGAGCATTTGGAGAGGGAGAGCGGACTCTCCCCACTCTCGACCGTACCAGGGTATTTGGGGTGTTGACATTATTTTCAGTGTAATTTTATGTAGGGATTCGAAACATCGGTTTCTTCAGTTAACAACTCTGCTTTGATTGGAACTGATGAATTATTGTGGTAAGTAGGTATAACTAGCTCAGAGAGTTTGATTACTAGGTTACTGTTCGGGGTCCGAAAGTTCTTAACTGTTCTTAAACATACTCTGCACAACCAAGAGCCCACCAAAAATGCGAATCGAGACCCTCAAGTCTCCTAGGACAAGTTTGACTGTTCAACTTCAACCAAACTAATACGGCGAGAATATTTGGTATCATCGGTGACAACCGTTTTACACCCAACATGACTGAACTTCATCATTCACGACATTTTACCAGAACTTCAGGAAAATTTTGAAGTCACTGGTCATCTGAATATTCTAATTTGGTTGAAGAGGTTTTGTAGAGATTGGTTACATCTGTGATCATTACAACCTAAAAAATAAAATTTAGCTTTAGATCAAGATACCGGATCACTAAAAAAATATCTAAAAATCAAGAAAATGACAGCCAACGAACCTAGACATTAACAACGCTCCAAATTCAGCACCATCATCATCATCTTCGACACATTTATCAAATGTGCTAGACACATTTGGGGTAGTTTCATTCAGAAATTCTTCTCTTCCAAGGAACATTGCCTCCTCGTCAAATATCTGAGGTGAAACAATGGTTTCACGTGTATTCGATTGAACGAATCCAGAACAATGTCTAGTCCGACGACGACTTGTAGTAGTAGTAGTAGTGGTGATGGGATGACTATCATCAGTATCTTTAGATTTGTACGTTCTACGTCGAGGAGTAGATCTTGGGAATGAGCCTACTGTATTCAGACTTGACATAGATTGAACATCGTTTTGTAGAAATGGTTTCATAGTAGAGATAGGGGGAGTTGTAGTAACTTGTGCTGGATTTAGACAGTCTGTATTTATCTGAGTTGTTGTTGTAGACAATTGAGAACAATTGTTTTTTGCATTCGGAGTACACTTGGGCGTCACATTAAAAATGTCTTATTGTAGAAGAAAAAAAGAAAAGAAGTCAGGGAAAAACAATCTGAATGCATTAGACTATTATTGGGAATCTGGTCTATGAAAGCAGAAGACGTACATAAGCAACAAAGAATCTATTATAGTTCACTTTGAAGCATTAGTCGCGTATAGTGGAACTGAATGAACAAGTCGAATGATGAGACTAAAAACTCTCATCAATTAGCAGTAATTAAAGGTGTGTTATGTATATTTAACCACCATCTACATTGATGTCCAATGTTAGCTGACAGAAGTAGGATGTTAAAAATTAGAGGGCATAAAGATCAGTACATAAAATCAAGTAATGGAAATCATTAAATGTCGATCTGATGCAAACTTTCTGTGATCAAATCTAGCTTAATACCAATAACCAGAAGTCGGATATGTTATGCAATAGCATGGTGCAAAGTTAACTACAGTGGCATGTTTGCACTATTTATTTTTAGTATTTTGTTGATTGCTTTCTTCGTTGTACAAATATGAAATGTGACTACCTGGTTCTATACACATTTATGTCACATTCTATCATACTGGTGATAACTGACTAATTATTGCAGTGAATGAATTATAGAAACATAATTTATGATTAAGATTGTAAGTAAAATATGATCTACACCATATGATGGAAGACACGAACAGATCAGCCAGTCAGTCAGCTACAACGTACGACCAGGCACATAAAGTTTAAGGGAAGATAGAGAGTGTATACACCTACGCCATTGTGAAAGATTCTGAGCCATGTCACACAGTCTCCAACAATTAGTTACGATAGTCACGCGGACCCCAACCAAGTAGTCTGAATCTACCAACATGGCTCAGACCAGAAGTTAGTGACTTTGTGAACTGATACCACATTTTGGTTCGGCCGTTACTAACTTTCTTTCAACCATCCTCAACACTAGTCAGCATTGCGTGTCGTGATGATCGGTATTCAGGAACACGTAACACGTGACCCAACCATCTCAGTCGATGAAGATTCACAACCTCATCAACTGGTTTAACATCATTCCCTAATACCCTGTGTCCAACACCACTATTACTTACCCAGTGATTCCAGCACACGCCAGCGATATTTCTAAGGCATCTGTGATGAGTTACTAGTAGCTTACGAGTAGCTTCTACTCTTAATGACCACATTTCGCAGCCGTTAAGTAGGAGAGAATGAACTGCTGCGCAGTATACTCGTTCTTTTATTGATAGACGGATATCTCGCCTTCACCATAGGTGACGTAATTTGGTAAAAGCCAAACAAGCTTTTCGAATCCGTTCTGAGATTTCGTCAGACAACAGCCCATTAGGGCTGACCAAATTTCCAAGATAAGTGGAGTTGTCAACGCGTTCGACTATTTCACTCCCTATCCTTAGTTCAGGTGTTGATGCAGACCAGTCCTGGAGCAACAAATTGTATTTAGAGGGGGAGAAGCGCATCCCAAACATCCTGGCATTGTTGCTTAGATTACGAAATACAATGCTTAGGTCATACAATTTCACCCTAAAACGATTGCTTAGTATCAGAATACTAAACAGTATAATAAATGGTAAGTCTATCAAATCTGATATAATATTGCTTCAGATGAGTTTATATATCAACTTACTTTTACGAGGGGTTTTTATTCGTTTTGGACTATGAATCAATTGACTTAATGCTGTATTTAAACGATGATGATCTGATGAAGAAATCATATTGGCTAATAAATTAGAATTACGACGTAGTAAACGTGGAGGTGTTGATGGATTAATATTTTCATTAATAAAATCATTATTTATATGTACAGAATTTGATTGAATATTAGAAATTTGTGTTGAGAATTGACTTAAACTAGCTTCCTCTTCTAATTGACGTCGTCTCCAACGTTCAGCACGTGACATTGCCACGGACAGACATGAATCTTTATATTGTATTGGTAGTTCTTGATTGAATTGAAGTGATGATTCGCGAGTTAGTCGATTATTATCTTCATTGTCATCATCGGAATTAAATGGCAGACTGGAACTATTACTCAATAGTGTTGGAAGACAACCACCACCACCACTGTGAGTCTGAGCTGTTATATTGGCAGCTTCTTGTGCTTCAATGTACAAAAGACTATTTAGCATAGAGTTAGCTCGACGTAGTCGACGTAATGGACTGACTGTTGTTAGCAGTGGTTTTATTGGTGATTCATCTACAATAATTGCCTGTTGAGAAAAACAAAAAAGAAGTAAATCAGTAATGCTCTTAGTGTTTTATACAATTAAACTGTGAACTGATTAGTAGGGATATTTGTGCTTTAACCATTGCGATTATATAAATAGTGTGGCAGAACATTGATCGTTAAACAATAATAACATAGTAAGAAAATACTGCTGAATATATGCTAGTAAGTGACTTCTCTTTGTTGAACATATTATGGGAGGTTATTTCTGGTCATCTCACATATGGTATTACACCGAAATCATAATGAGGCATTAAGAAATGGATTATATAAAGAAGGAGTTGAGATTTTCGTGATCATATGATTTGAAACAAGAATTAGAATACAAGTATAAATAAAGAACACCAATCACAGTGGGTTCGTTGAAAAAGAGCAATCTTAGGAGAACAACAACGATTTAACATAAATAGTCTTCAAACTACAAACCTACCACTACCTCGGCCAATAATAAGGTAGTAGGCGATGATCGAGTATATGTAATACACGTCTCAACTATATCAGTTGGTGAAAATTCCCAGCATTATCAGCCAACTTGTTGTCTTTTCTTCGCTATGTTTTAGGTAGTTTCACTGACATTAATTTTCTGTTACAGATTAGAACGACAAGATGTAACTATTATTTCTATATTAGTAGCTCAACCTCACTATTTAGTTTCATGCTAATGGCATAGGTTTTGTAAGGTTTACGCATAAAGAACTAGTGTACAGTGACGTAATCCGGATTAAACTAGGATACACTGGTAGGTGTAAATAAATTCCCAACACCCATGGTTCATAATCTGTAAGCTTTTTAAAAACAGTAAGAGTTTACTTGATATTTTTACAACACAAAACATCTATGCAATGTGTACTAATCGATGTTATTTAAATTATTTATTTAAACACATCAACATTCGTACAAGGAGGCACCAAATAGATATGCGGCACATAAATTATTCCGTATGTTTGAAGGCTGGGATACTGTCCTGGTGCCCAAACCGAAGCAGGCGGTTTTCTTAGGGGGCCACATTCCGAGCCTTCGACCTAAAGGTTTGATCCATAAGGCAGTGGAGCAACGTTAGGAGATACAGTCATATGGCAGACGGTGAACAACAATAGGTTCATACGCCATTTGTTTCCTTAGGATCCTGGAACCCATGTGCACTATTGGTTTGGAATCAAGGTGTTCCAACTCCACGTGAATGCTCTATACCCACCAACTCAGTTTAAAGGCTAAACACTCGCTTTTCATCCCCTCAATTTTGTAAACAACACTCCCTGGTGATGGCTGTATACGCGTGGCCATATAGGAGCATTTCAGGAGGGAGAGAGGACTCTCCCCACTCTCAGCCTTACCAGGGCATTTTTACTGTTACATCTTATCAAAGTATTATAATATAAGTGATGATTTCGTTAAGAGATAATTTATAAGAGTATACTATAATTGAGTCTACTGATTTCGCCTAAGTTTCGGACATTTGTGGTTGCTCCTTACTATGTAAATTAGTGAACAGGACTTCGATTTACTTTATTGACAGGTAAACATAACCTTTTCAACCAAGTTAATCTCAAAACAGAGGGGTAAATTTAGTTAAAAGAGAAATATATAGCTACAAAAATCCAAATGATTTTTGCTAAATGCACATAAATATACCTTATTTTTGGTTTTCTCTGCTGCAGCCAACTTGGCGCGTTCCCAGCGAGGATATGATTTCTCTGGATTAGGTGTCTCGTGTACTGAACGTCGATGATTACGTCTTGAATCGGTATTCGCCCTTCTTTTAGACTCTCCTCTTGTTGAAATGGGCGTTTCTGATAATGTCGACTTTGGTTTTACGCTATTAGCGTTAGGAGACGTGATAATATGTGAACGTGATCGATTTGAACTCTTTGGAGTACGAGCTGACGTTGAAGCTGGAGTTCGTTTTGATGAATTAGCTGAAGAATGTCTGTGTCTTGTAGTAGGTGTTGTGCTAAAAGATTAGACATAAGAATAAATTTTAAATGAAGACTTTGACAAACTAAACAAATAACGGAGAAAATAATATTAACATCTGACCAATTGGAACATAAAATGTCCGCTCCCACATAACAGGAGGGTAGATGACGATGAATTAGTTGTTTTAGTTTTTAATTTGAAAGTCGTTACTAAGCAACCTTCAGTAAGTCTTTGAAATATCAATATATTTTGAAAATTTCATCCAGTGATGCCATTAAAATTACCATAAATACAGAGATCCCTGGTAGCATATTATATTTTGTATTAATTGTGACAGATCTAAAACGTTTACTTGACAATTATGATTTGCTTTTAAATTAAACTGGTTACTTGGGATCGTGTGGCAATTGAATGTATCTATTTTATCATAATAAATATTTTTATGCACAATAGGTAAATTAAGAGGCCAAAACAAAATACTTCTGCCGTAAAAAAATAACCAAAGGTAACCAATTTTCAATCCTGTATTTCATACATTATGCTATAAAAATCATTGAGAAAAAAGTATCATAAAAAAAATATTATACTAACCTTGTTGGTTTCTTTCGAGCTTCTCGTTTTACTGGTATGCGTTTCGTTGGAGTTCGGCATTTTCGTTTCGATCGTTGACATGGTATAAGTACTAGATGAGGAGTTGGTATGGTTTTACAAGACCGATATTTACTAGATGACTCTATGTTGACAGGACACGAACTAATAACATTGGATAAAATTGGAGTGGATGTCAAGGGATTAGGAGTTTCATTGGATGAAAGTGAGATGTGTACTGAATCAGTAAACAAAGCACGTGGAAGCGATTGTCTAAGGGTATTGCGTGGTACTGGTGAAGGTTGCATGACATTTGATGGTCTATTATTTACAGAAAATAATAAATGGAATTTGAATTAATTTTCAACAAATAATTCCTGGCTAGAGGTAAGATAAACTAGACTTTGATCAATATTTGCTTCAAAAATTCTTATTAAGTGAAGTGTGTCCGAGTATATTACAAACCTGAAAATTTGACAGTGTTTTATCTTGTACCCTATACTAGACTTACCTGATGATAGTATTAAAAACAATTGTGTTGATCCAACGGCTACCAACTGCCTCCAAATGCCCTAGTACAGCCAGGGGGTGAAAAGAGTTAGCTAACCCTCTCGAAATGCTCTAACATGGCCACGTGTATACAGCCTCTGCTAGGGAAGTGCTACTAACTGCCTTCTCATGGTGGGGGTGCTGTTGACGAAATTGAAAGAACGAAACGCGAATGTCCGGTGCTTTAACCGATTTGGTGGATATGGAGGATTCACCTAGGAAAGTTGGAAAACCCTCATTCCAAACCAATGGTGCACATGGGCTGCAGGAACCTGAGGGGATAAATGGCGTATGAACCAATTGTTGAGCACTGGCTACCATGGGGCTGCATCTCCTGACGTTGCTCCACTGTTTTATGGATCAGACCCATAGGTCAAATGCTCCGGGTGTGGCCCCCTGAGAAAACCACCTACTCCGGCTTTGGCACCCAGTCAGTACTCCAATCTACATGCGAACTCAATGTGTGGCGCATACATATTCCGATGATTTTGTATCATTGTTTATTTAAACAAGTAAATAGGTCAAGCACCTTATGTTTGGTGGATGGTGTATGGTTCTCCTGGAAACGGGATTGAGTTGTATTATTTGGGCTACAAATTTTAAGCCTGGGTAGTGTCTGGATTTCCTGAGAAACGGGATTGCGCTGTATTTTTTGGGTTGTCACGTGAAAGTCTGGATGGTGTCCGGTTCTCCTGAAAACCAATTTAAAATTACCCTGGCCCACAATGGCATATTATATAACTGATATATTATATATAACCTTATGTTTACCCTAGAATTTTTTGACACAACCTGTCTCATAAACTACGTCTGACTATCAAAGTGATAACGGTGTTGGTAAAATTGCTTTACCCGCTTCTTCTAATCAAACAGTTCACACCTCAGTAATTTATAAGACTAATTTTACAATAATATCATTTAAAAACCGATTGTGAGCCTACACTTGGACTAGTTTGCGCTTAGTATCATAACAAGCGAATTTCAGTTTTTTCAGTTATATCAACCTAGAAGCTAAGTAGTAACACCGAGCTGGATCTGTTAACAGATTCTGTTGGAATGGATTGCTGACATTAAATAAATTTCTAAGTATCTGTACGAACACCCTTTTGACTGAAGATAATCTAGCTTAAGGGCAGGTGTAGATACATGAGATGAAACTTGAAATCCGTCATCATTTGCTCGATTATTAACCTCATATAAATTTCAACAAACGGTTGTTAGTTACCCACGACTGATACCAAATAAGTCACCATGATGCACTATGATAGCTTTTTGGTCAGTCAGTCAGCCACAACGTAGGACCAGACACATAAATGCATCGGTCCAAGTTGCCATACCTCATTAACACAACAAGATGGACACCGGATTCATAAAATTAGTTAATTCAGAGGAGGTAACATAGAAAAGAAATTGCGGTAAGGATATAGTACAGAAAGAAAGATATGAGGCGTTTTTAATGTCTTAGTTTAAGGGAAGACAGAGAGTGTATACACCTACGCCATTGTGATCGATTCTGAGCCATGTCACCCAGCGTCTCCAACCATTGGTCACGATAGTCACGCGGACCCCAACCAAGTAGTCGGCATCTCCCAGCATGGCTCAGACTTAAAGTTAGTGACTTTAAGCACTGATGCCATGTTTTAGTAGCCAAGAAACGTCACCATACACAGAAATAACACTAAAAACATTTGGCTATTCGAAAAGGTTATTATCCTGATCTGTGTATAGAACCGTACATCATTATAATAAAGTTTGCAAAACGGCTGAAATCGGTTATATATTACCACAACTGAATCCGGTGTTCATCTCATGTTAATGAGGTATGGCAACTTGGACCGATGCATATATGTGCCTGGTCCTACGTTGTAGCTGACTGACTTATGGTTAAAATAGTGATTCCTCAACTTAAGTCTGCATCTTGCTTGTGCTCCAGATAATAATTATGTCACTTCATGGTTGGGAGCGTTGTTTTTCTTTTCTACCTTCTATTGACCACTAATTAAATATGTTAGATCATTATTAACAAACTTTATGATTACAACCAAGTTTGCCAACTCAACTGAATGATCATGTTGAGGTTGGCACAAACGTTTCGGAGACCTTATTCATTAAAGGCTAACAGCTCAACGGTAGTAAATTAAAAATATTGAGGATAAGAAATGATATACAAATTAAGAATTCTGTGATGGAATTGAAAGTACTTTTCAAGTTTACTTGACGAAAGACGGGGTAGCAATTCGCTATGAAAGTTAGACAATTAGACGATAGATAGGGAATGTTGAAATCGAACAAGTAGAAGTTTTAGGATGATTAGATGGGATTTTCCAAATACCAGAGGAGTCTATTATGTTTATAATTATGGACCCCAAGACAAGGTGTTTACGATTTTCAACACAAGCAAGAGTGACATAAAAGGAAAATTATAGTGTCAGGACTATTCATGAAGCAGAAGTTCAGAATGACCCATTTGAAGATACGCCACTAGAAGATTGTGTGATAGCGAATGCAGAGTTTAACACAAAAATTCACCATTTGAAGATATCAAACTTTAAAACTTTAAGGGCTGAAGATGAACAACATTATTAGGCGGGGAAGCTAAATTTGATTTACAGGATTTATTATGATTCGAAGACCAACAAGGAAAGAGTTGAGTCAACAGATGGTTATGAACTACATTACTGGAAGTCTTGCTTTACTGATTCCTAACACCATGATTCCAGTCAGAAACACTTCATTTTTACATGATTCAAGTTAGGTCGCTAACCTGACGAAGAAATACAATGTTTTGATAAAAAAAGACATGATGTGAGTAAAGGGTCAGGTGCAATTCTCGGTCATTCACATAGCTGTAACATAAATCCAAGGAAAATGTGACTAGGTTCAGTAATCTACCCATACTAAAGCAGAAAAGTTTAAAGTTTTCCTATAGTTTTTTGGTTCAAAGTGTAAACATGGTGCATGCTCTTTTAGGAATTGATAAGAATATAATCTGGGGAGGGCGTGGTTTATCGAAATCGCAACTAGGATTGCTCAAATAGGAACTTTAGTCATCATTAACACAAAGCAATGGTTAAAAGTGCTGTAGACAGTAAAAAAAGACAGAACGTACTGGGGTGAATTTGGTATGACCCCATCGACTTCATCTACATTTTCCTCTAGAGTACGTGATTCTGATGTAAGTTCCGTATCATGGGGTAGGCACTCAGGAGGTTCCAAACCAAGATTGATGTAGACATGAAATAATGTGCGACCAAAGCCTGTCTTGTACCTTTAAAGCAATTAATTGATAGAGAAATTACCTATCGACAACTTCCAATTTCAGAAAGTTTTTCCATTCATTCCAAGTAGGATCACATAAGCTAAGCCGGCTGATTAGTTCCGAAATCTAAATCGATCAGATAACCATTTTATTTACCCAGTCACCAAGTTCATGATCAGCACACATATCAGCCTCTTCAAACGAGCATAGAAAACGAGTATGTAGGACTAATAAAATTTGGAATTGTAGCCTGGAATAGTTAGGGAATAACTAACTTACTCTCTTGACAATTTTTCGTTTCCATTGTCTGAAGAATGCTTTTCTAGAATCTCCTTATACGACAGCTTCATTTCGCTATCTACGCGTTGTACCAGAGACTAAAAAGGTGATTAACAACTAGCGGTGGTACTTTTTTCTCTTCAGGTGATAAGCTTATACCTATTTCCGATAGCCGAGTAGTAAATTCAAGTACTGTAATTTCACCATTTTCAACAGCGTTATCGAAAAGACTTCTTATGGCAGAGAAATGACAATTTGAGGTCGACATTTCAGGTCACAAACAAGTACAGAAACACTCCATTTGCGGATTTCAAAACAGTCCCATCGCTTGAATGACCTTTAGCATCTAACGAAATTCAATCATTTAAAAAAGTTTGAATTTTCTGTCAGTCACAAAACAATGTTTTGTGAGGTGTAAAAAAATGATGTCCTGCGTTTAAATCGATTATTTCAAGAAATATTTTACTTCATTTAGCATGTAGTTGCCTGAACAATATAGATTCCGAAAAATCCAACGCTTTCCATGAAAATTAAAGTTTCAGTTTTCAGTTTGAATTTGGAAAGGACAGGAGGCTTGATGGCCTGTGTTATTCCTGGCAATGGTGGTCTTTCAGTTGATCCAACTTTCTTTTGAAAGAGTAGACGGATGGAGCCTCAACCACGTGCTGAGGCAATGAATCCCACTCGTTGATGTTTCGATGGGAAAGACGATAGTCAGCTGGCAAGTAATCTGTTCTGGGCTTGTGAACATTTTGGAGTGTCCTCGTAAATCCTCTGTTTTGGAAGACAAGAAAAATGAAGGCATATCAAGTGCAAATTTATCACTAAGATATTTGAAAACTGAAATCAAGTCGCCTGTAGTTCTACGATATGACAACGGGAATAGGTTTAACTTTGCTTGTCGAGCGTCATACGGAAGCTTCGCTATTCCGGGAATCAGCTTAGTTATTGTTCTCTGAACCCTACTATGGTATATACATTGCTAAAGTAGTTTGAGAACACTTGAACCCTACCAAAGTCGTCCTCCACTAATGATGAAGCAGTACTGTCTCCCCACAATGCTGGAATACTTCCTCTTCTTTTTACCCGTTGGTTTATATCCGAATACAAGCGTTTAGGACATTCTGTGGATTCCTTAACAATTTTTTCTTCGTGCAACTTTCTATACTTGCGGAGGGTCGAGGCATAGGTATTCCGAGCTTTTCGATACCGAGATGTCGTCTCGTCAGTCCCCAGTAACCTAAATCTATCCCACATTTTTCTTCTCTTACGGAGGATGGTGCAGACCTCCCTACTGAACCATGGTGGAGAGTTTAGCGACCCCCTTGGTACAGTTCAAGGGATGTGGAGTGCGGTAACTTTTAAGTAAAAATTTCGAAATGCATCCCAAGCTGTTTCAATTGGGGACCCTGGGTCTATTGTTCAATCTACTAACAATGCTGAGTGCATGATATGTGGTATGTTTGCTTTCCAGACGTTAGGTCTGGATTGGGCTGACGCGTGCTCGTGACTGGCATTTATATGGAAGTCAAAGATTAAAACTGCGTGATCACTTTTACCTAGGGGTGGCAATGTAATGAAGGTTCACAACGTCATCCTCATAGTGAGTCAATATAAGATCTAGTCAGGATGATTCACTGTCCGCGTCGTACCTAGTCGCTTCTTTCACATGTTGCACTAGGGCATATGTGATAACTGTATCAAATAGTTCCTGCTCGAAGGAATTATCTGACGATTCAGTTAGCAGATTTTCCCAGCCTATCACAGGTGCAGTAAAGTCCCCTAGGACTAGACATCGACCAATTTGTGACCAAGTATTGAGACTACTTAGCAGGACCTCATTTACCGCACAGCTTGGACTGTGATAGACCAAACCAATCATCAGCGCTTGTCCCTTGCATCTCAAGTGGCAACTAACTTCTTTGCACGTCTGTTGAGGTGATTTAGAAATTTTCTCGCAAAAGTCAAGCAAAGATCAGGAAACACTAAGAAGCATTCCATCCAATCAGCGTTCACTTGAAGTTTTAGCCAGAAACACTAAAGAAGTGAAACGTCACATGAAGAGGTTCTAATTGGCTGATTTCTATACCGCTACTATGTTTAGTAGCATTGCAGGATCTTCTAGCAACCCAAGGACTTTTAAAATATTATAAAAACCCTATATTTTCTGTAGTGGAATATTATAGGCGGCCTGCTTGAGCATCTGAGCGACCTGTTCCTGCCATCTAGACATTTCAACAAGTTATCTATTGTTGTTTGTTTTAATATATCATTATGTCTATTAATCGCTTAACATACCCTGGTGCATTTCTGAAAAGTGTACAACCTTTCGTTGTCAAAGTTACAAAAAGCCCAATAAGAGATAGTGTGGTCGCTGGCAATATGCAGAGAAAAGAATATACATTCTTCAGATGTTCGTTTACTGAACTGCTAACATCTAACTGGTGATCGCTCAATATTTATCGTCAGGACCGACCAAGAAGAAAGAAACGGAAACTTGTTGAAATACTTTGTGCTGAGAATTCTATATTGTACCAAAAATATAATACTGAATAGAGCTTTTAATAATAATAATAACCTTTGGAGTAAAGTACTTGCATACTTTGCGCCTTCTCTCTAGTGCTTATGTTGCTGTGTAGTTTTAGCTTGGGTGTTACAAAATAGCTTAGGAAAGGAATATAGCGTTCAATTTGCAAGACTTATCTACGTCCCACTCTCATGAGATACATCATCGATAATGGCAAATGGGATAGCATATCTAATGAATAGATCTACTCCCCCTGATTTACGCTTTTGTATTCTGTCGGCCCTTACTAACGTAAAACCCTCGAAACCAAGTTCCATACTATATACAGACTGTGTCAGCCAGGTGTCTCTAACTGCGGTTATGTCTGGCTTTGTAGAGTCAGTCTGTACACCTAGTTCCGATCGCTTATTGAGCAAGCTTCGGGCATTATTGTAACAGATCCGAAGCCTATTTAGATGGCTTCGTGCTTCACCCAGAGTGGCTTCGGCACCATTCTCTGTCGAAGCCTTACAACCCGAAAACTTACAAATTTTATGTACTTTTCGCCAGCATCTAACCTAAGTTGTAGTTCTTTTTTGGCTTCCCGTCTTTTTACACGGTCTGCCAACGGCAAGTCCTTACGGATAAA